ATGGACACAAAATTAATTAGAAAGTTCACAAACAATCACGTATGAATGTAGCACCAGACTATAAGCAGCACAAATTCAGTAACAAAAGAAACCAAGAGTCACCCCATCTTGATTGAACAAAAATAGATGGCATCTACCAAGCAATGATATTTTGACCACCACAATAAACAGTCATGCAAGAGTCCATTCAGGCCTGACTATTCCACATAGCATTAACGGGAAATCAAAATCTCAAATGCAATTCTGCTTAAAAAAACAAAAATGGCAGCAATAAGCAGAAACTCGCCTGTCCATTCAGTATATTTCCTTTGACATCCTGAGCGGCCTTCCTAAATTTCTCCCTTCCCTGTGAGTACAAAACAATAGTAACTTCTGTGCAGAGATATAGAACCTCATGACAATAATAAATTGCAATAAAGTGTGAATTTATCGCTAGCGAGCATCTTCCAAGCATTGCAAAATAATGCCAACATAATCTTGATCCCTGTTACTAATTTTATCAATTTTCTAACAATATGACAAATCACTCAAATTCTAATATCCAGATCATAATGAATTATTTGTAAACATAACCTGCACCTGTGCGTGACAAAAAGGTAATATACCATAGACGAGTATAGAACTAGATAATAAATAAATAAATGGATGGATGGATGGTAAAGAGGTCTAACTTGCAACCGGGTGCATGCCAAACAAATTCAAGGTTCAGAAGTAGTGTACTAGAAATGTGAATAGTAGCAACAAACAAGCAATGAGCAGATAGTGGGAAGGTAAATAAGCTAAAATGAATACAGTTGAGATGCATAATAAAAGAGGTAAGCATATGAAAATAAAAATAGAAATTATAATGTGCTCAAAGTATCCAATGTCCACTTAAATTCCACCTATGACCACCATTATTCATTTGCCACCACATTCACTTTGATACGCAATATACCTGTTAGCCAACAAGGCAAACTCTTTAGTCTGCAGTTACCACAAAATGTTGTCCCAAAAACAATATGAGATGAGAAAAGGAAAAGACATAGCAGTACTGCAAGAGAACAGAAGGATAGAAGAAGTTGGAATAGGAAAAAAGGAAGAGAAGTCTAAGAAGTTGCAGATGAGATGGGAGGGAAAAGAGAGAAAAAGTTGCAAACACCAGCAACATGAGAAGAAGGTCCAAGTTACCATGACCAGAACTGGCAGCATATGAACGCAATGAGATACCAGAGACAGAATTGAATCTAAAGGTGGGTTTAGCAGTTGACACACAGGCTAAGGAGTAGTGCACATAAAGGCAAAGGAGAGGTGGAGAGATTTGTGAGGCCTTAACTAAGGATTTGCCATAGTTTAATCGGGTCCAATATGCTTTGATGGCTAGAACTAATTAATCTGGTCCAGCCACCAAAAAGGTGGCATCCCTAAATTAAGGAGAAGGGTTGAGTGATGAGGAAACTGTGTAAAGGTAAAGAAGAATGCAGAGATTCAGGCGTTCAAGTCATAGCAACTACGGATTTACAGTAGTTTAATCAGGTCTGACCTGCTTAAAGGGGTTAATCCAATAAACCCTATCCACCCCCCTAATAGGTGGCATATGTGGGTGATATTTAAGCGAATCGAGCCATCTAGGAAGGTTCGCTAACTTTTAGGCACCACAACACTTGATAGGAGGAGCCTAAACTATTTTTGGGACAGCCCAAGTTTTGTATGAATGAATGTCAAGGCAGGTACACAAACCGCTATTAAAACATTGGCTTAAGAAGGAAAAAAAATGCTTGACATAAACTTGGTTAAGAAAGGGGGGGAAAGGCAGACTCCACTCAACACGCGCGCATGCACCCACCCAATGTATGAGATGCAAATAACAATACACTTGTGGCATATCGGAATCCTATAAGGAGAACCAAACAATGGATTCAAAGTAAAATGTGCAAGCTCACAGCGCTTGCTTTTGAACCTTTACATCTTGCATAATAGATCACATAAAGAAGCCCAACGTGCAACTTCTACTATACATATGGCCTATCAACTAGACCTTTGTTGATGGCAGATATTTCACTTCTTCCCTGCAAGCTCCTACACTTCCTGAGAGCAGCTATAGCACCTATAGCCTTCATGTTTGATGATCTCATAAATGACATTGTTTTAAAAATCAGTCTAGGTATCCGGTTCAGTAACCGCCCAGGCCGGACCGGTTCTCAGGCTGCTTTGGGGTGCCTAAGGAGGTCCAGGCCACTCAAGTGTGTCATGCTACATAAAAAATGTCTATGCAGCCCACTTCAGTACAATGATGAGCAAAAATAGTTGGTGATACTTGGTCAGTTTAATGCTCAAATTCTAAATCCAGTTAACTAAAAGAGAATTGTCAATAAAACAAGAATTTATTTTGTCTAATAAGGCTGAGGCCTTGCAGCTCCCAGTAGTTGTTCCATGTTTTCCTCTTCCATTTCTATCCTTCCACCTAGGCTAAATCAGATTCACTCTATCCTAACTTGCATTGACTCTTACTTTCTTTTACCTCCTCTCCTTGGCATATGCATACAAATTTAACAGGTTAATATCAGTGGTGCATGCATTCATATAATTATTGCAGAACATGATTTGCTCAAGTCAATAGGATATAGAAGTTAACCATGTACATCAGTAGGTTAATCATGTAGGCATCTCAAAGACTCAATGGCATGTGGTACTGAAGGTTTAAAGGCTGGAGGAACATAAAATAAATTCTCAATCCCAACAGCTAATTTACAATCTTATAAGTAATGATCCCGACAAAAGATTACTATGATGACATTCCTTAAACTACCACAGTAGGAAATATTTTTAAAAAAACAAATTAACTACTTTTCCGTTAAACATTTTCATAAAAGCAAAAAATAACTAGGAAGAAAATGCAATCAACTTTACCCTGTCTAATGTTCTCTCAAAACTCGCCTCCTCTTCTGCAATGATGTCTTTTATCTTTGCCTCGTGTTGCTTCAGCTCTGGAAAAGTATCCCCCATCACTTTCACAACAATGCCTACAAGACTAGTTATTGCAATTTATAATCAAGATAAATGAACATAATAAATAAACAAATGCTGGTGAAGTGAATATTTATGATTTGACACTTGGAATGGCAAATGAAGGGTAAAAGCAAGAGGTACAGAGCAATGAGGAAAGATTAGGAAGAACAAAAAAGAGATGCTCCAACATTATGGAATGGTTACATCCTGCATATCGATTATCTCTCCTAATAATCATATGCAAACAACTATCTCGAAGATGCCTACATCTTCTACTTACAAGAATAAAGATAAACAATTCCAAAGTCTTAACATTCTGATAATCACATAAGTAGAGATTATAAAGATATCAACCATATAGTACAGAAGAAACAGTTTGATAAATTGCTGCAGCCTGCATCAATAATAAAAGATAAAACATATATAACCATTGAACATGTCCAAAATTACAAACATACAGAATCACAGATGAAAAGACAGGGAAGGAAAAAAATGGTTCCACATTCTACACCCCAGTGAACATATCCTATTAGGCTATTAGTCATCAATTTTGAAAAAAATCAGCCTCGGACTCTATCAAACAGAAAAGGTACCACGTAAACGAATAAAAGAAATTATTAGTTTGAAAAAAAAATATACTCGACCTTGGCATCTTGCATGAAATATTTTCCGTATTTAGCTGCATTGAAAGACATTTCAGCTGCAACTGTCTCATAACAAAGAAACACTAATCTAACTCTTGAATAGAAGCTCAACTCTTATCTCTCTCCTCGCCAGTGCACTCACCGAAATGCAGGGTACATGTCAAACATCTGCGTACAACTTTTCTAAAGTCCATTAACTGATCTTGCCTATCCATCTACTATTCAATGCAACCAACAACTCCAAATGAAAATCATGTTGTCTACATCTGTGTTTACAATATGCACATGTTTCTCAATTTCATACTTTCTAACATGTAAAAAATTATTATTTCTACAGCTAGTTTCTAGATTAATCAGACAACTTCATAGGTAAGCTGCAGAATATTGTTGCCCGTAACATTATTACACTTCAACAATCTAGTTACCATTATATCAAAGAAAATCATATGCCCACCTGACAAATGGCTGAGCCGAAGTCAAAAATAAAACTTGTCCTGGATCCATGCATTTCGACTAGCCTCTCATATCTCTTCTCTTCTCTTCTCAAAGCATTAAAGTCACATCTTTCACGTTCATCTGTTCTACTAAATCTAACTTTTTAAACTCATATGACTTACCTACAGTCAACTGCATCAGCTGTAGTCTTATCATTTTGAGCACTTCTACTTGTATAAGATTTGTTAATTCATGTGACATATATTGTAGCTAAACCAGCCAGCTTCAATAACATGTCATTCTGGTTGAAGAAAAAAATAATCTCCTCTTGTTGCATCAATTATGCAGTCTTCTATATTATGTAATATCCGTTTCTACAATCTAATGCATCCATTTATCCTTGCTAAGGCCCATTTCTAATATCTTAGTTTTTGTTATTAGCTGACAGTTCCTGGATGTTATTGTTGTAATACTGTCTCACTTGTAAGGATTGTTGTCTACTTGTACAATGCATTTTATACATACTCAAATGCTTTGATCAGAAAATCTGGACAAATAACCTACATTTCATAGTCGTATCAATCATCGATCACGAAACACTTTGAACCGCTTGGATACCATTTGATCATAGGGAATACATGCATCTTGTGCTCCTTCTTCATTCAGAACATAATAGCCTTTGCACCAGGAACTAAATGTATTATTACGAAGGAAGTATGAGAATGCAATATATCTATTCATCACTAGATAATATTTTTATTTTTCAGTTATGGGCATACATGGTCCGATCTTCATATGAATGGCCCCAACAGCTTCCAGTGAGAGGCCAAGTGGCCAATCACTTCCTTTCAATATTCTAAGCATAGCCCTGCTAGTCATTTATGTTGAACAGTCTCCAAGCAACAGATTACAGCTCCCATTTTTCTGTTGGGGACAGCCGGGTGTGAAGATTGATGTGATAGGGAAAGGAAATGGGGGTCACAAATCATGTAACTTGCTAACTACATCCTTTTGGGGAAACTGTTACTTGTTAGAATCATCTTTGCTATCCCCGTCCTTTCAAATCCCCGTCCTTTCAAAAAACAACAGTTTGTGACTTTCTTAAAGCTTACCAAGCTAGATAGTATAACTTGTTATGGAAATAGCTTACAGATATGAAAGACATGGTATGAGCTTAAAATAGGAAGTTGATGATCAAATTAATGTTCCAAATTTAGGAAAATCAGATGGATGGCCCATATAATCACAAACACCCATATGGGCAGGTTAAAGCCAATGGAACTACCCTATGACGTTTTACAATGCCAATGTTGTTGGCTGCAATAGGTTTTCAATACATTCAAGAGTATAGGTGACTAAGACAGCTTTAGTTGGCACAAGTATCTTGCATCACACTAATATCTTGCGTCACACTAAGAATTCCTTGATCATTCTTTCTCACTTGATGTACAGTCGCCACCTAATTCAAATTCACAATTTCCTTCAATAAAATAGTTATGTGAACTTTGATCATCTTATTAATGTTTCTATACAACTTAATCTAATTCTTGTCCGCACTTATTTGCCTCGATGAAAATATCATCCACCTTATTAGTTTAGGCTGTTTAGCACATGGTAACTATATTCTCAATGATTTCAACATTACAGAAACCAAAGACACATCCAACAAACATCCAGAACAACGAAACTGGCTTCATAGCAACTTTCTCAATAACTTTTTGTTTGGGTTGAAAAGGTACGTATGGAAAATAACCTACAAGCAGTAGAAGATACAAGAAACAAATCATAAAGATTACAACATATTGTGTGGCAGGCTTTCATCGTTATGTTTGCAAAGAGATTCTGAAACCAAGTTTCAAGGAACAAGCATATCAATCTAGGATTAAATCCGTGCAGAGAAAGTAAAAGAGCATGCATCCAAAATTTGTCTACAGGAAAAATAGCAAAACAGAATGTAGAAATTTTATCCCAATTCGCAGAAACATTTTTATGGGAATTGGACTTAAATGAGATACAAAGACCATTTTGCTCTAATACCAGCCAAAAATGAAGCAAACTGCTTCCACGCTCTTTAACTGCTTGGAACTATTGATGTTTTTTTCAAAAAGCACCATGCTGCATCAATGGTTGTTCTATTTACAATCCGATTTTAGATAATCTAATCTTACACTGGAATTGGTCCAATAAATTTGATATCTAAAGATCAAAGAGGAAAGGGTAGAAATTGACTAAGATTTAGTTACTTCCAGTTATATATATATATATATATATATATATATATATATATATATACACACACTAGGATTTATGCACATGTAATGCACGTGATTAAATATTATGATTAAGTATTTTTGACTTATTTATTTATTAAAATTTGTTTCTCAGTTCCACTTTGATTATTTTTCTCACTTATGTTTTCAAACTTTACTATTATGATTATTTATTTTTTTAGTGTTTGTTTGAATAGACTATACCAAATTTAAAATTTTCATGTAATAATTGAATTGACAAGAAATAACTATAATCGAAAGCTAATTTGAATTTTCGTGTTATTTAGATCGGCATGAAACCAAGCTTGACTTAAGAAGATATAATGTTGTAAAAGTGAAAAATACTTAAAAAATAATGTTATAAAAGAAAGATGAATAATTAAAGCCAATAAGACAAGATGATTAATTAAAAGTGGGCTAGAATGAAACTAAAGAGAATATAAATTTTATTGCTAATCATTGATAGACTTTAGAAAAAATCATAAAATAAATATTAATACTAACTCTAGTATACCTTTATATGATAAAAACATCCACATAACCATATAAAAAAATTAAAAGAGTTCATGAAAATCACTTCTAAAGATTTCTAATTTTACTCAAAAAATTAAGCTATTTTTAAAAATGTTAAATAATTTAAATTTGTGTTGTATTTATAAAGAGCCTTGATGGAGATGCTTTTGTTTTAACAGTTTGTTCTGAATGAGCCCTACATATTAGCTTTAAAGTGTAATATTTTTTCTTTATCATATGGATGTTTGCTTGGTTTGCTTATCTATCTCTTATTTCTTCAATAAGTTGATATATTATTAACAAAATTTACGATGACATGCATAGCTTTCATACAAATTTGAGGCAGGTATAAGATGAATTTTATATTTAGTGGTCTTTAATAAGAATTTTAGTTGTAAAATATGTTACCTTCATATTTAAAGAACTTAAAATCTGACAGTACTATTACATGTTTATCTTTGATCGTGTTGTTAAAAATTGATCTTTCGTTGGTAGTCATATCCCTAAATAAGGATACATGCAGAGTCGTGCCACTATTTAGAGAAAAGAAAAATATCACTTTTATTTTTTTTACTTACACTATGGTAACTAAGTATCATGTGCATATTTTTTATCCATTATAGTGATTATTCTCACCTTATCTAGTTTATTATATCTCGCAATGTAGTTGATCAATGACTTCACTTTAGTTTCTATTGCAAGATTATTTATATGAAATTTTATATTAAGTTTATGATTCCTTCAGTATTTTTAGAATAAAGTATGAAAATTTATAAGTACTTACAAATTTTTCTTGTACTTTTCATGAATAATGTTTTTTTAATTAGGACATAATTGTTCAATATGTTCTTCAAGGAGAACTCGGTTAGTGCTTCTTTACTCGATATGCTTTTTATCAATGTCAATTCAGGTGATTCATGAATGTTTCTGAATTTTGAGTTTATTTCCTTCACTTCTCCATTTGAAATGAAAACAACTTAGTTCTTTTAAATGATATCTCTGAACTTTCTGATAGTTTCTCCATACATAACTCATTGTATTTTTTTTACTTTATAAATAAATATTATCAACATTAGAGATAAATGTTTATACATTATAATCAATTAATGCTAACCTATATTATATCTTAATGTAATAATATCAACCATTTCCTCTTTTCTTTGTCAAATTTCATCCTTTTTGTGATTTAAACTTTTGAGGGTGTGTTTTATAATTTTTAAACTTTGATAGTATTTTATGAAAATTTTAAATTTAAATTTGGGCGCTTATAATTTTTATGTTTCATGTATTGGTGATAAGTTTTTAAATGTTAGAATATTTCTCGTAACTCTAAAAATTTAAGGGTATTTTTATAATTACTAAAATTTTAGATTGCTTTTTAAATTTTTTAAATATTTAGCAATCTGATGATAATTTCTAAATTTGATGTGTACCTGTTATAAGTTTTAAAATTTTAGAATTTTTCATAATTTTTTACTTTTGAGAGAGTTTTTGTAAATTTTGTAACTTTGAGGTTATTTTTTTACTAATTTTAAATTTCTATGTGCCTAATGGTAATCCCTGGAATCCATCTATGTTGTTTCTAAGTTTTAAAATCTCTAAATTTTAGAATGTTTTTTTATAATTTAAACATGGCTAAATGGCATTTATATACCCTATTGTTTTGCTCTTGAGATAGTTATATACCCTAAATTACAAAACATAGCAAAAAATACTCTGAATTGGTAACTGTTTAAATTTAGCTAACGATGTTAAAAAATACATGAAAGAACAATAATGCCCCTCCTTAGGAATTAACCCCCAACATAGTGAAAGCTCTTATTTTCTACTGTCACCCATATTAAAGAGGAGGAAGAAGTTGGAGGCCACGAAAAGAAGAAGATGATGATGAAAATAATCTAATTTGTGGGGGGTAGGGGTGGGTGGGTGGAAAAGAAGAAGATGATGATGAAAATAATCTAATTTGTGGGGGGTAGGGGTGGGTGGGTGGGTGGGTAGGTAATACAATGAGGGTAAGAAGTATTCAAGTTGGTCATAGTTCCAGCACGTGGGAATGTTCCAGAGAATATTTTCACAGCTGGTTAATAAAAGGTACCAACTTGTAAATTTTTGCCAACTCAGGATATTTTTTGCTATATTTTGTAACTTAGGGCATATAACTGCTTCAAGAGAGAAACACATAGGGTATATAAATGTAATTTAACCTTTAAAGTTTTGAGGTTGTTTCTATACTTTTTAAATGTTGAGGGTATTAATTACAAGTTTTAAATTTTTAGATATCATGTTAGTTTTTAAGTTTTAAAAAGTCAAGGTGTTTTGTGTAATTTTAAACTTTTAAGGCTATTATATGCAATTTTTAAAACTTTTGGGTTTTTTAATAATACTTCTGTATTATATTATGTTATCTACGTATAATTTCTTAATTTTATTTTTCTATATTTTTTAGCTATAGGTAGTTCATATGGAGTTAATAAGGATATAATTAGTATTTGGATAGATTAAGATTTAAGTAAAATATTCAAAATAATTTTTTTTAAAATTGTTGACCTATAAATAGTTCACATGGAATTAGATAAGATATGATTAAAATTAGAATAGATTAGGATAACAATGTAATATATAAAAAAAGCTAAGGGTAATACTGACCATAGAAAGATTTTCCCGAACTCGTGCTTTTAAAGGGAGTATGATATATATATATATATATATATATATTTGACCGCATAACCTGAACCTCCGAAACCTTAATATCTCCAACAGTAAACCAGCCTCAATAGAGGTCGAGAATTCAAAAACCACCCCAACACAGCCCTGTCTTAAAGTAAATGGCCTTTGGTGACTAGGACCTAGTTGGGAAGAGTGCGATTTCAACCCGATCCATTCACCTGAGTTAACAATAACCTAAAATTTGCAACTTTCGACAGCCCCCAGTTAGGGGGGCGTAACCCCAATTTTGATGTGCCACACCACATTATCATACAAATCATCTCATACAAGGAGATGCTTCACATCTCAGGTTAAATGTTAGTATGTGCAAATATCTAACTTCAGGTTATAAACTTTTTAGTTTGAAGCGAAAAAGAATTAAAAACCACTAGACCTATAAAGGACCAAGAAAAGTGTAGCATAAATAATGGTTTGGCAGCTTGTTCACAATTTCATAAACAATTTTGGACAAATCCTTCTTACTTCATGGCTGGTGTTTTGATTCAGGAAATACTTTCCCTTACTTATCAAAAGCCATCTAAACAAGCAAGAGCAAAATATATCAACCATGAGACAACAAAACACGTTGTATTCGGAGATACGGCAGATTACACCAATCGATGTAGATACAATCAATAAAGACTCATTTATTGACTGGAAGATAAGAAGAAATCATTTGTCTTACCCACTGAAAAATCCTTCTTTTGCTTTTAAAAAATCAGTTCCATATCGAACAGCTCGTCGAAGAATACGCCTTAAAACATATTCCCGCCCCTCATTGCCTAAATGAAAAAATGACTATTATTATACACAAGACGTATGACAGTATACGATTAGCAATAGAAGATGGTAGAAATAAAGAGCGTAAAAGGTATTATAAGAAGTTGACTAAGAACACAAACAGCAATAAGATTTTATTTTTAATAGCTATTCCAGGAAGCAACATTTTACAGCTTCTTGTTGTGCACTTATTACAAGAGATTCACAACACAGAACAAAAGAAATAATCCAATCCTCCACTACCTTCAGTAGAATCTGACAACAGGTAAATATTATTAAGGTAATGTATAATAAAAACTAGTACGTTCGATTTGAAACTTAATTTAGTTATTGTTCCGTTTTATCTCATATTACCATGAACAAATTAAACACAATTTTAAACTATAGGCAGATGATACAAGTTATCGGATTAGCAAGTCAATCAGGTTTGAAGATTTCATACTTATTACCCCTTACTTCTTTAATGAAGATCTTTGCCAAAATAATCCACTTAATAACATGCTTTAAAATTCGAGAGGGATTTGGATTCTCCACCCATCCTCCTCCTGATTGAATGCCGGATACAGCTCTAACCAATATTCCACTCACATTCCCAATTTTTTAGTGCAAGTAAAAAACATGCCACATAAGCATCAAAGCTACCAGTTATCACTCAGATAGAAGATGCAAAAACAATGCAACATACATAACTCGATATCTTTCCAATAGTGTTACTAAATATGGATCACAAAGAAATTTGAAGAGAAGAAAAAACATAAATGCAGACCATGACATGCATATTTGATCGCTATAAGAGAGTGCTCACAAAATTTTGTTGGTCTCAGTATTTGCTACTTATGACATGTGTACATCTATTAATTAAAAAAGGAACATCTTAAGTTCATCTTCCATACAACTTTGTGAAATATCTTAAGCAATATTTGTATAGCACAGTAAAGGAAGTAGACTTATTGAGCGAGCGAGCGAGCGAGCGAGAGAGAGAGAGAGAGAGAGAGAGAGAGAGAGAGAGAGAGAGAGAGAGAGAGAGAG